TTTGTTGTTTTTTTTTTTTTAAATAATTATTTTTGGTTTGGGTTTTTATGGGGGAGAAATGGGGGGTTTGGGTTTTTATGGAGGTTCATGGAAAAAATATGTGCCTGGCTGGGCTCGTCCTCTGCTTTTCTTCAAAATGCCGCTCAGGACACGCATCTTGTCTTGGCTCAGCCCCCTCGCGCCTTCCATTGACATGTCAAGTGCTGATAACCTGGAATCGAGGCGGCAAGCTATTTCATTATCCTTAGGTGGAAGAGCACTATGTCCTCAAAGTGACAAGTGACTGCTGGCAGGATTGTGTAGTGGGCTTCTGAAAACAAACAACAAAAAAACAGCTGAGGTGTTCGTGTTTACCACAGTATTCCTTAAATTATTGGCAGTATTTTCCCTGTAGTTATGTCATCAGTAACTGAAAAAAAAAAAATTAAAAATAATCTAGCAACTTTTTGCTCTTTGAAGCAGTGATACACGTTTGATTCCTCTGTGGGTTGAATGAAAGCAAGCGACGTTTCTAAAACTTTTAAATAAAAACTCCAGAAGGCAAATTACGGATTTGTAAGTGGCTTCCCAAGCTTGAGTGTTAGAGGTATGAACCTGTGTGCTTCTCCTGTGAACCAGTGTTGGGTTCCTTTTGTCAGAGGAAAGTACTCTTCTGTGTGCTGTGTGCAGTTTGCTTAGGAGATGAGGATGTTGCACACTATCTCTTGAAAGAGGAAGAGTGCAAAGCCCACGCTGAACTCTCAAGCAAGAGCTGGAATGCACGTTTCTACTTGTGTGTTGGAGAAATGTTTACAAAGGGGAACAACCTGTGCCCAGAAGAAAGTCAGTTTTGTGTTGTGAAATACCCATGCTTTTTCCTTTTTATGTCTTGAACAGTTTAAAGCTAGAATGTGAAAAACTGGCCAGCGAGAAGACAGAGATGCAGCGACATTATGTCATGGTAAGCAAGCTGCATAGCAAATTCAAAACGTCTATTAGCTTGGTATACTGACACCGAAATACATTCGGATTGCTGGAGGCAAACAGAAAGATTATAAGCGCTGTTGTTGTGGAGGTTTCATCAGTGCTTCTATTATAAATCCTTAGTTTCAGGGGTTTAGAACTTGTTTGCAGCAGTTAGTTTCTGCACGAGTCTGCTTGTTAACCTTTAAAGCAATTGGGGATATTTCTTCCGAACGCTAGCAGATTACTTGTCAGCCCTTTAAAGCCGTGTACAACTTCTGTAGTGTACCTGGGGATGGTGTTTTCACTTGCACTGGCTTCTCCCAACGATTATGTCCGTAAAACGGTTCAGGATAATATTTTGTTCTGTTATGGGCATAAGCCAGAATTTATTTTTTGTTGTACCTGTAAATATACAAACCCAAAGCCTACTTCCTAGAAGAACTGTTGCACCTGGGCAGCTGGTTCATTGTTGCACTAAGTTCAGAACGGCAAGGATCTCAGCTGTGGAAGGGATTTCCTTGATGGTTGTGGTCTGCCTATTAAAATAACGTGAACAGGAAGATCTCTCTAAATACATAATTACGTGATGATGGATCATGATAACTCCAGAGGAGCTCTTCTTATCTGTTCTCTTGTATCATCTATGATGTACAACCTTCATAAATATGCATATATAGGTACATACATTTTCCATATGTACATGATGAGTAACACTCTTGTATTCACAAAAAGAGCAAATAATCTTGAAAAATTCTTAACCAGGAGCACAAGTGAGTTTTAAGGCTTGCAGTTGTCTTTTTCATGCCCGATATGGCTTAGTCTTGGGGACTGTTTAGCACTAACACTACCTCCTGAGCTGAGCTCCCCGCAGCACTCGGGCACAACAGGACGTTCTTAGGTTGGTATTGCTTTGGCTCTGAATTTCCGTGCTCTTTCACTTTTTGCATCCCTGCAATCTAATTGCAGCTTTTGTGTTTTTAATTTAAAATATTGAATAACCGGTCTGTTAGACATTGCTGATTTATATGTGTGTCTGGCTTCAAGCACTTCTGGCAGTTTTTTTGGCATCTTTTATGTGTGCTAGGGAATAAAATCTTTAGCATTTTCTGTGTGGCTTTCTTTTTTTCTTCTAATATTAAATTCTGGTTGTGATTACTTTTTGTGATTTTTTTTTTGTTATTGTTGTTGTTGTCATCTGTGTTTTTTTTTTTCTTGTTTTATGGCTGTTCTTTGTAAATTGGACATGAAGCAATGTACATAAAGAAGAAGAAAAAAAGAAAAAAGGGTTTACTGTAAAATGCTTTTTCATATTCCAAGAGCTATTCAAGGCCAATAAATGTTTTTAGGTCTGTATGTCTTTGTGTGGATGCATGAGTCAAAGTGAATTCTGGAATAGTTTTCACAAATGCACGATCTAATAGAGTAATTTTCTTTTTTTCTTAGTATTACGAGATGTCGTATGGGCTGAATATAGAGATGCATAAACAGGTAGGTAGATAATTTGTTTTGAGTGAGGATGCTCTGTGTAATTTCTCCCATCAGTCTTAAAACAAATGTGTATTCTGTGTGACTTACTTTAACTACATGCTTGAATGCATGGGGAATTTTTTTTTGCTTGACCTGGCCCTGAAAATTCCATCTTGTGTATGGTATATGGGCTATACGGTTTTGGCTACCAGTTGTGTATTATTTGGTTGACTTTTCACATGCCATCTCTGCACATGAAAGCAGTCCCACTTGCACGGGGAGGGTGTATGTGTGTAGGGATGGGTATGTATTTTGTACTTTCAAATCTGTCTGACCTCAAACCTTCAAGGTTTACTTTTTGATTTGGTAGCTACATCATGGATGCGTATTAGGTGTCAAGGGATTCGTATTTTTCTGTGGATAAGACTGTTCTCTTTGGTTAACCTGGGTCGATTTAAGCTGGAACTCTGAAAGCAATTGATACACAGCCATGTTCCTGTTTCCCTTGGGCTTCTTTCTTGGACTTTCGTCCAAAATCTGTGTCTTAGCATCTCAAACATGAAAGAGTAAATGAACTTTCTGTGAGGATGTTAGCATGCTCAGTTTTGTGACTTGATGTCAAGCACTTAGGCCGATATTAGCAGGAAATTAGTCAGATGGAGCATGGTAGTATAAATCAGAGTTTCTTTTTGGTAATGTGTGTTTTTAAACTTCTCTGGAGGAGAATGAATTAAACATCTGACCTCTTTTCCAGTGAGGGAACTTCTCTTTAAGGTGGAATTTAATACTGACAACTCACTTTAGCAAATGGTTGAGCAATTTGCCAGCATTGCTGGGGACTGTAAACTGTAGAATAAAGAAATGTTTGAGTGAGAGAAGAAAGACAATCTGAGAATGGTTTTGTAGGCATTTCTGTTCAAAGCTTGGGATTTGGAACTTCTCTGGGTTGTGGAAATAGATTTTCTTCATCTTTTTGAGGGCAGACATACAAGTAAAATTTTTTTGGTGTTATTTATTATTTGTTGTATTTTATATTCCATTAGCATTCCAGTGCCACAGTACTGATTAGGGCCACTTGTGCTAGGTGGCATACAAATATGAGGACAGAGGGATTTCCTCCCTCAAATCGTTCTGCATCTGCAGCTCAAAACTTGTGGGACCTTGTAGACACTTAATATTTTAAAGACATATACATGGACCTGTTGAATGCAAATGTCCTCCTCACAGGTACCATGCAGACTCAATAAGCACGTTCAACAAGAGATTAAGAGGAAAAGGCTGTGATTGCAGGTGATAATATTGTATGTAGTTGGTGATTCTCTGGACCTGATTGAGGTCGTGGACAGCTAGAAAGACTGATCACTGACTCTCAGAGATATTTGGTCTGTTCTCAAATAAATAGTCATGTTGTTTCAGATCCCATTTTAAAAAAAGTCAAAAAAAAAAAAAAGAAAAAACAAACATAAAAAAACCCTCAAAACCCCCCAAAAAAACCCCAAACAGTAAAGAAGTAGGCATGGAAACAATTCAGAAAGACCAGATTACTTTCAGGCCACCTACGTAGTAAATTCTTAGAGGTGTTTGAAAGCAAGCATTTATTGCAGTCAGACTTGTTTATATTTCTAGGTACCCTGATTTTACAGGAAATGGTTTTATGTAGACTTAAACTGGTGTGTAAATAATTGTTTAAAAAAGCCACAGCAAAAGCCTTTTTAATTTTTGAATGCTTTACTTCAAAAATTGTACCCAGTTGTGGTGACAGAGTCATCAGTGGTATGCTGGAGAAATTAAATACTTAGTTACGACAAAGTGTGGGGATTACAAATGACTGGATTTTAATTAAACACCTTTTTCCATTACTGTTCAGTCTGTTCAAATTAGTGGTTTAAGTATTGTACTCTCATGCAAAACACTTAAATTTTTGTCAGATGTTGATTCTCTTTAGCTGAGGCAAAGAAAGCTCTTTGCTATCATTCTTAAACCAGATACCAATTTCATATCCCTCATGTCTCCCCTTCTGTTGGCACAGCATGGGCTTTTTTTTTTCTTTTTCCTTTTGCTTCAGCAACTGCAGAATATTTCCCATCTTGGTTTGTGATCACAGCATTGTGGTCCGGTTTGATATACCATGTAGATAGCATTGATTGCTTCATTTGATGGTTGCAAAGCTTTTTCAGCCTTCCACCTTAAATTCCCTTCTCTTCCTCTCCCATCTTTGAATTTTACTTGGCTGAAATTGAGCAATTAACTGCTTTTTTTCCCTCCTCCCCTTCTCTGTCTTTGTAAATGTAATCATATGAAAAATCCTGGGGGCAGTTTTATCACATTATGAAATACAGACAGCCCTGCAAACCACCTACTTATTATATTTTGTTTCTTTTTTTTCCACTTTAGCACAGAGGCATATCTGTCTTTATTTGTTTTCGTGGGCAGACAGCCTTGGTTCCTCTCAGGTTCTTTTCCAGATGTACTGCTGGATGCCCTTGTAATGGAAAGCAGGCAATAATGCAGTGAAGTTGCCCTTCGGCATAATTGGACCTAGTTCTCAAGATCAGGTTAGGCTTATTCACTTATTAGATTTACGTCTCAAAGGGTTCAAGAGCAGGACTCCCTAGAGTCCTTGGAAGTACCCTAGTAATTGGTGGCCCTGATATTTGAAACCTTTGTGTGTTTTTCTGTTAAAGCTTCTGTTCTTCTTGGCTGCTTGCAGCCACAGAGTATTTATTTTTAGAGAAATTTTTCACTGGAACAGAAAATGATGGCTGTGATGGAGTCATGACTCTGTGACTTAGCAAATTGATAAAAGGATAAATGTACAGAGAGCAGTGGTAGTGAGTGTGCCTGTGTGTCTAGAGGGAGAAGACAGAGGGGGGAAGAGCATCTCTTTTCCCACCCCTCGTGTGATGCTCATCATCAGTCATCCTGTGTTGATTTTGATAGAACACTATTAAAGTGAAACCTATGGGGAATTTGTCATTCTGAAAGGAAAGCTAATGTAATTAGTACAAATTAAAGTACATTTAGTAAATTGGATTTAATCTTAATTAAGCCTGCATAATGTTGCCAATTTTTAACAATTATGTTTGAGAACATAATTAATTTAAATTTTGGTAACTGAGTAAATAGCATTAGGCTGGTAGAATTAGTAATTTGTTTTGTTTTTTTCTTTTTAGTTTTTTAAAGACAAGTGTGGGGTATGTTGTGACATGTGGTGTTATAGCCTAAAATACTAAGCTAATTTTTGATATTCTGTACTAGGATCAATAAAGCTTCGAAGTAGACAATCACCTCCCCCCTCTCTGCCCCCTACCCTCCCACCCCTGGGCAAAAAAAGCAGGCATTGAATTGGGAGGTTTTGGGTCCCGGTATGAACAGTTTTAAATTTCAGCATTAGTATAAATATGAATGTTTGAGTAGGGTCTGAAGATGCCTATTTCTTAATGAGTTGCTTTTTTAACATTTGTTTTTAGGTGGCTCAGCTGATAGCTTATGAATGAATGGTTTACATGCTGCTCTGTGTCTCTAATATAGGGTGGCTACTCGGTGGTGGTGGTGGGGATTTGTCATTTGGCTTAATTTCTGAAATTAGGCTGTTTTAATGTTATGGTAAACAGTTTATTTAAATTGCTGTAATCAAACGTGCTTGCTGAAGGTTTTAATTCAGAATTGTAATTATTGCTTAAAATAAGTATCTGTATTTAGCCACTGAGAACCGATATTTGTGAATGGGACTGATGGAAAGCATTAAATAGGATACAGCATTCACTTTTTACTTCGATTCCACTTTTTCAAGGTATACATAAATTCTGAGTTGCTCTTTTTGTTGGGATCTCTGTCTTTGAACTAATTCATGTGCTGGAATGTTGAATTTCAGCATTTTTGACAGATAATTCAGGTCTTTCAAGAAACTGGGTATTAAAAAATGAATGAATTGACTATTTAAGATCACAGTAAAAAAAAAAAATCAGTCCAATCCATGTAAATTTTATTACAAGACTTGAGCAACAACCATTTGAGTGCTGCTAAAATATTAATTGGGTAGAAATGAAAGGGCTCTGCTAGCTGATAGGATATCATAATCATAGCTGCAGTAGTCGATGGTAAATGATGATAAATGGCATTAGGAACCTTTTAGCAAACTGTAATAACTACGAGGAGGCAAGCAGTATGGATTTGCATTATATCTGATACCCTCTAGTACCAAGTGGATTGCCAATACTGCTTGTTTAGCATTTTCTAAGGGCAATAGGATATTGATTTCTGACTTACAAGGAACGGCTCTATTTTCACCATTGAAAAGTATTGCAGGTTGTTAAGAAGAAATTGACTTGAAGAGGCCTGACTGCTGCCCATCATGGAGCAAATAAAGCAAAACTGCCGAAGCATGGTGGAGCAGCGAGATGGGGCCCCCAGCAATTTGTTGCTATTAATTTACCATGCTCGACAGCAAATCAATCGGCATCTACTTCATCTGCTGGAGAAAATGCTGTCCAGGGCAGATAAAAGGCCCTGCGTGGTACAGGGAATAAACTGGATTGGCCAAACGGAGGCTGCACTTAATGTGTAAATAAGTGAAATCAAGGCCACTGTTGCCGAGAAAGCTGTTTTTAATTAGGTTGGGCTTTATAGTGAGCTATTTAAGAAAGTAGTATGGAGAGTAAGAGGAGATTTATTGCTGACTGAGGTAATATATGGGCTGTATGACATCCCAGCCTTGAGTCTGCTTGCTTCTTAAGCCTTAGTAAATTATTTTGGTAAAGGGGTAAAGATGGGAATCAATTTGTTTAATTTAGGGCAGAGTTTTGACCATTTTTCATCTTCATGGCCATAAAATGCATATATCACAGAGAAGTAGGTTTTATATGCGCTACCTGTGTAATGGAAAAATACTCTTATTTTTTCCTCTTTTTTTTGGGGGGGGGCAGTGGTCTGGTCTTGACATGAACATGTGTGTTTGCGTGCATGTTAGTTTTTTTAACACATTCAGTAGTTGAGTGTATATTGTCTTCCATTTGCAGGAT